ATTCCTGCTCGGCTGAATCAATCGAGTACGTCCGTCGATGGCTCGTTGTCCATAGCTGATGATCACGCATCGGTCAAGGCCCCTTTTCCACGCCGCTACCTTCTTCCACATTTGTACGGCGGTGTGAGAGAGCCACCTTCACCTTCTCTCACCTGGTGAGCGCGCGCGCGCGGAGATCCTTTTCTTCTTCTTCTTCTTCTTCTTTTCTCCACCTCGGTCTCGCGTTCTCGTTTTTCCTGCCTTTCGCTCCGCGCTCCGACACAAATGGGGGAAAATGTACACGGGTATGTATTTTACGTTAGCTCTCTACGTGAGTTACGCGTTGAGGTGAGAACAATGCGTTCTTACGTCAGAACTAACGAACGAATGATGAACCACACACGCGATTAACGCCCGTAACGATCATGTCGCTCGTAGAATCATTGTGACATACATACAAACACAGACACACACACACACACACACACACCGTGCGTACTGTATCTTCGTGACGTAACACGGTAATCGAACGGTAAGATAACACGCTCTTGTGTTTGAAAATGCCATTTGGTCAAATTGATATATCTCATTAGAAATTCACATCGCGATACATGTCAAGTACAAAATAGACGATACATAATAACTGATAATACGATATTATGTGTGTATAACGCACACATATACCGAATATTTCAGATAGAAATGGCCAAATTTGAGGATCATATTATATTCATTAAAAGGATGAGAAAAGATCGAGAAAGAGACGCTTCTTTTTTATTTTTTAGATAAACTTTCTTTAAGAGTTTAATTCTTAATAATAATTGTGCTCAAATCGGTAATTGGCAGAGGAGAATCAATTTCACGTTCCCCAAATTTATGTCTTCTGGGTTTTTATTTATAGAAACATTCCAAGATTCTCGCGTTTCTTCGTATTGCTACTGTGAAAGCACTTCGAAATCGCTTCGTGTTACTAAATTCGAAGTACTTTGGAAATTTTGTGACAGACGTCGCGAGGCATGCGAGGCATGCGTTGTCGCGGAAGGAAATCATTTCCAGCAATTTCTTTAATAAAGTACTCTTGCGAAACTCTGTCGAGAAAAAATATATATTTTGTCTTAAAAAGTATTTAATTTGAAAAGGAATCTTTTCTCACACTTTCATGTGTCTTTTTTCATTCTTACGATCAGTAAAATACGCTCTTAAAATTCACTTATTTCTGAAACATCCTGTATATGCTTGATATCGTCGAGACAGGTGTGTGTATATAGTTTATTATTTTTTCTATCGCTCTCGTGCCAATACGAGTTTTTAATAAAAGAACGAATCCGAATTAATCTCTAAAGACTGTAGATGAACTGGAGAATTCTTTTGTTTTATTAATGAAAGAGTTCTTTAATCGACCCGTAGTTAATTCGCATTTTTTCGACCCTCACTTGTACTTACTATGAAGCGACAGCGTTTCGAATTTCTCAATGTTGCGATTAATCGTAGTTGGTCCGTTTGATTGATATCGAGATTAACGACACGTGAGAGACACGGGACTGCTCTCCTTCGACTCGGTGAGAATTCAACTGAAAACACATTGATATACACACCTACTTTTCTCCGCATGCTCGGCGTTGCTGCACAAGTGCTCGCCTCGTATTCTCGTTGCAATGTCCCGGGACAATGTTCGGCCCACTAAAAGCATCTTGCCGACTTACTGTAACTTGTACCAGTGTCTTGAAACTTAAGGAAAAATGTATAACATAAGGTTTTCGATCGATTCTTTCGAGAGTAACAATGCCGTCATATCCATATTTTGGCGATTTATATCGCGCGAATTCAAATTCTCTATTTCATTTTCTCACTCGCAGTTTCATTCGCGAAAAACACATTCCATAGCTTTTTATTTCTAGTCTAAAAGCTATTAACGTTTCGTCATTTTCGATAACGAGGATCGAGGCTAAATTTGACTGCGAAAAAATGTTATTTACGTCTACTTTCGCGTCAGTCTTGAAACACCCTATATTAACTAAGGCTGTTCAGCTTCCAAAGCTAAACACTCTTGACATGAATAGGCAATATAACATGATCGTTTTATATTCACCTCGACATTTTGTGTGTTAAAATAACAGCGCGTACACAGCAGAGGTGAATAATCGCGATTTGTATTATGATCGATCGGGAATAGAGCATTTAAGATACCATAATCCTTTTAAATATCATCGATTACTCTCTTCTTTCTCCTGCGACTCGCACAAAAAATATACAAAGAGAAAAAATATATATATATGGTTTTTGAAACTGTAATCTCTTAACACAACTATATTTATAGCAGCAATCATTTTTTTGCAATACTTCATGATCGATGTCTCCTTGGTAACTGAAGGATTCTTAAAACGACTGAGAGAAAGATCGCTCGATCTTATTTAACTTGAGCGCGGTTATAAAAGACCGGTTTCTTCGCCTTGCGCTTTATACTCGTTACGCCCCTCATCCATGGCAACCTAAAAGAATTCTTAAAGAACTATCGAGAACTTTCCATTTCAAAATAATCTTTTTTATTGATTAGCACATTATGATATTTTAGACGTTGTTGTAATATCTATGGGATCATTAGTTAAGTAATACATCAAAAAAATTGATTCTTTTCAGCTACTTTATGTCGATAAGAAATTTGCTTGTAATTACTTTGCAATGTGTTTAATAAACATTCATAGATTAAAGAGCATGATAGACAATGGTTAGCCGCTGCTTAATCTTAAAATTCAAAATAGCTACTCATTCTCAAATCAACGCGTCATACATATCATTCATCATGGACACTCGGTATGTAGCCTTAAATTATCGCCGAATCGATATGCGACGCGGGGCCGAAAACGAAGAATAAGAGTTCCATTAAGTCGACAGGAATCCGCCCTCGCCTCGGGCGGAATTTCTCTCGAACGATCCAGGTCGAAGTCAGCGGCGTGAGGGGGGAAAAGAAAGGAAGTCGCGAATTCTCCTTTCGTTTAACGAATTTTATCGCTTTTTAGTATCGCGAGCGGTAAATAAGGTTGGCCCCGGTCGACCTTGGCTAGACTAGTGTGGGGGAGAGAAAAGAAATCAAAGTTACTTTCCAAAAGTTACGCCGATCCCATTCAAAAAAAATACAGAGCGTCTCGTCGTCGCGTCAGGTCTTGCTTCGGATCTCGTCCGAGATTTTCGCGATATCATTCGCGAGAATAATCGCCATCCAGCCGGCGCGCGAGGATTTTCAACGCGTTCTTGCCTGCTGCGGCGCGTCAGCGCGAAAATGCTCCTTTCACCCGGATTCTGGCGCGAGAATGTCGTTGAGAGACGAACGACGAACCCGAAGAACGGTAGGCGCATCGGCGCGACTCGCTCGATTCGTTTCTCAATTAAAATAATCGGTGCAAAATAAGTTCGCCTCGAACATTCACGCGCAAACGATAATATTCACGTATTTTTTCGAACGAAA